TCACAGAAACCCAATTTTCTTAAAACCTTCTCTATGAAAGTCCATTCCACCCTATCATAAGCCTTGCTCATATCCGTTTTAATGGCCATGAATTTGCCTTTACAGGACGGGTTAGTTCTCAACCCATGGAACATCTCTTGTACAATGAGAATATTATCTGAAATCAATCGTCCTTCTACAAAAGCTGATTGTGTTTCCGAAATCAGTTTTGGTAGCACCGTCTTTAGTCTTTGGCAAAGGATCTTCGATATAATTTTATACCCAACATTGTAAAGACTGATAGGCCGTAATTCCGTCATCCGTGTCGGTCTTTCCGTTTTTGGAATAAGGCAAATATTAGTCGTATTTAACCGTTTATCAAAAATTTCATCCTCTAAAAAGGAATTGACCAGAGAAAGAAGGTCTGTTTTAATAGTAACCCAAGCCTTTTGGAAAAATAAGGCTGTCATACCATCAGGTCCTGGTGCCTTTTCCGGATGCATCATAAACAGAGCCGTTCTCACCTCACACTCCATTGCGGGTGCTGTTAGAAAATTATTAATCTGATCCGTAATCAGAGTTTGAACTTCTGCCAAGGATTCCTCAAAAGCCTCAGGCTTAGTTGTAGTAAACAGTTCTTTAAAATAAGACACCGCTATATTTTGAATATCTTTATCCTCTGCAGACCAAATTCCGTTTTCATCATGTAACCCTGTTATTCGATTTCTAGCCCGTCTTTGTTTTGTTAGTGCATGAAAATAATTTGAATTATTATCCCCTAACTGCATCCGAAAGCTCCTACTTTTCTGATGCCAATACAATTCCTCATCTCGATAAGCCTCTTTCAACCGCAATGTTAATTCGGTAATCTCCTCCCGTGGTCTTCTATCATCTCTCTGAGCCACAAGTAATTCCGATTTTAGTTCCTCAATTGTTTGCCGCCCATAGGGAGTTAAATCTTTCCTCCACTGCGAAATAGCCCGCCTACAATTAGTCAATTTTTCTACAAATTTTCCCTCTCCTAACTCAGGGTCAGAATTCCAACCATTTGAAATTGCCTCGAATAATCCTTCCTTCCCAATCCATCTTTTATCAAACCGAAAATTTCTTTTCCCACGTGGGATCTTATCCATGAGTGTAGCTACCACAGGTGAATGGTCGGAAGCTACCATTGGTAAATATTCAACGAAAGAATTGCAGAATAATTCATGCCAATCTTCGCTCGCTAAAGCTCTATCCAAACGACACCGTATTGGTTTCTTATCCCGCCAACCCCGCCATGATAACCAGTCTCCGATATATGGGAATTCCAAAAGACCGCAATTTTGAATCATTAAATTAAAATGTATAAAAGAAGATGCATGTCTTAAGTTACCACCTCTTTTCTCGTGATTTCCGGTTAACTCATTAAAATCGCCTATTAAGAACCAGGGTGTGTCTCTAATCAAACCGATCCGTGTTAACCGTTCCCAAACTTGATCTCTATTTTTCGGAACCGGATCACCATAAACAAAAGTAAGATGTATTGTTTTTCCTTTTACCACTGCCTCAACATCAATTAAACGATTACTTTCATAAATAATTGAAACATTAAAATCATTATTATAATAAAGAGCTAAACCGCCACTACAACCGATAGGATCGACCGTTTTTAAATTTTTGTAACCAAAATGACCGATAAATTTTTCCATAAACCAAGAAGGTTGTTTTGTTTCCGAAAGAAATAAAAAGTCTGGCCGGTGTTGTTTCCATATATCCCGAAGATAACCGATAGTAGCCTTATTCCCAAGTCTTTGACAATTCCAACTCAAAACCTTCATAAAATAATTTGAAATTTTTGTGAGAATTGCTCCTCCCTAGGTACAACACTTCTCTTTTCCCGGGATCTCCGGGCTGCATCTATGATCGATGTATAATTCATTTTCCTTTCCTTTCCCAGATGACCCGTGAATACTTTATAAATTAAAAACCCTATTCTAGGAGTGGAAAACGTAATTATAAAAATCCGTTCCCAAACCACATTATAATTCCTTAGGAACCGTATATTATTAAAATATTTTTGTTTCCACATTAAAACCCAAGATTCCAAAATAATGAATAACCGATAAAATGTAAACATACACAAACTTGTCTCCAAACTCAAAACCCACATTGTATCCAAGAATTTGTCTTGCCCTGCTGATGCATTTCCCAGTTGATTCCATAAGCTAATCACCTCTATAACCTTTCGTATCTCCCTTAAATCTAAAATCCGGTTATACCTATAAAATAGACCATTGGAGAAAACCAGAACACTCCTCCGCTGTAGAAACACCGAAGCCCAAAACCAAATTTGTCGAGCTGTTCTCAGACTCGAAACATGATGAAAATAAACCCACCTCCTTCGATAATCCAGAATTGAACCTTTCACCCAATTGACCAAAAAACACCACAAATTCCAATTCAAGTTCAATAATTTCTGGGTATAAACCAACCACCGGAAAATAAACAATAGAATCCCATGACTCAAACGATCAATAATCGCATCTAAAACTAATCCCAAACTCAATCCTTTCGGACCAAACAATATTGAGATCAAAGAGATCTTCCGAATCTGTTCCATCCACGATATATCTGTTTCATACAACCGAGATAATGATACCACCACATCTTTCGTTTTCGAAATCCATGAAATAATATGACCAACGAGAATCAAATCGAGAACGAATCCATCCGATCCCATCCCCGAAGAAACCAAAGCCAACCACGTAAACCCAAATTGGAAAACCAACAACCTCCGTACACCAACCCTTCTTTGTTCCTCCTTAGACAATATCGCAAAGATTACCCGAGATCGATCAGATAAGATCTCCACCGAATTAATTTTCTCCAGCCGTAATAGATTCCTTGCCGGATCCGAAATATTGTGAGCCTGAGTGACCGTATAACACACCGTATAACCATGACTGAGATCAATCATCAACCACAGATGAAAAACCATCTCAAAACCGAGAAAAAATGAAAATCATCGCCGCCGCCTTACTTAGGTTTAGAGAGCGTTTTGTTAGGGTTTTGAGGCTCTATTAACAATTTGATATGTCGTTGACCATGATATGTGTTATAATGTTTTGTATCAATATTATTGATGTATCATATCCTCAAACAATTTTATTTGTGAAAAACTTATAAGATAATGTCGACATCCCAAGTGATGTCAATAAATGCTCGAGGATCTACCCAACAGTCTACGTAGTAATTGCATATATCAGGACATGGAAGTCAATCTGGAATGCAATAATAAAATAAAAAAAAGCATACTTCTGCGAGAGTTTTATTTTCAATTTAGATGATTATTTTATTACTTAGATATTTTTTTTGTTCGCAATTATATTCCTTAGTTAAAAAGTACAACTTATCCTAAAGTTATTATTCTTATAAATGACGATTAAATGTCTGTAAATGTAGGGTTTTTTTTTTGGTAGGAAACAGGGAGTCAAGCCTCCCTGTATATTATTAATGAACTTGAAAAAATTACAAACGGACATGCCTTGGAAACGCAGTTCCGCGGTCATCATCCTCAACAAACGCTTCCACAAAAGGTGGAGCAAAATCAAAAGCGTGAAAGCCTAAAGGCAAAGTAAAAGCATAGTTGGCCAACCCATCAGCGAGACGATTAGCTTCCTTATAAACGTGCGATACACGGACTATCCAGTCCCTAGAAATAAAGCCATGGCACAAGCGTACCAGGAACGACAGAGGATGCGAATCATTGATCCCCGTCTGTAAGAACCCAACCACCAACTACGAGTCCACCTCCAACTCCAACCGCCTGCATCCCCTCTCCCAGGCTATGTAGAGACCATAGTATACTCCCCATAGCTCAGCCAGTGGCGCCGAACATACACCAATGTTCAGTGAAAAGCCGCCACGCCAATGTCCAGCACCGTCCCGTAAGACCCCACCCGCGGTAGTCAGCCCCGGATTGCCCCGAGAAGCGCCGTCAGTATTCAGCTTCCACCACTCCCCCGTCGGTGGTTATCCCAAATACTGTCATTTTGGATTTATTTACTTTTTAATTGTCATTTTGTATATTATTTTCCTGATGAATAACTATCATTATCTCATGGGTAACCAATTAAGGGGATTTTTAATAAATGTGTGGTTGACAAAAAAAAAAAAATTATCATTATCTCATGTAAGAATTACACACCAGCAGAGACAAGTCCAATGAATTCAATACTAATAAGAGAAGCAAAACTGTTCTATCTTGTTCTTTTTAGTATTCGAGTTTACAAGAAGAGGTGTGTCTCCTGCGAAACTCTATAAAATACAGGAAAACAGATGAATCAAGACGTCGGAAATAATGAAAGAATGGCGCGCAGAATTAATATGGCATGCATTTACTCTTAGATTTAGGTTATATCTATAATAATTGACCTAGATATTTTTTATTAGTCATCATAAGAATGTTTTTGTAATTCCTACAACCATTTAATTTGCTCTTTTTGTTTTTGTTTTTTGGTTAAAATTACTTTTGCTAAAATATTTTGGTAATGGTTATTTTTGCATATTGAGTCTGAAAGCAATCTAAAATAAGAAAGATTCAAACTTTTTAATTAAAGATAGATAATAAGCTATGAAATTAGATAGCTTGGGCAAAGAAACTAAAAGGATGTATAGAAAGCTTAATTGAATAACATCAGTCTTTGATTAATATATCATACAAGTTAATATATTAGAGGTATGATACAAGGGTTTAGAAAAAGAGTTGTTCCTAGTGGCAACTCTCAAGTTAACAATTTTGATGACATTACAAAACTATATATATATATATATATATGAATCTACTTGCTTAGCATAATTCCATATTTTAATGAGCTTCTCTTTAGACATAATTCCATATTTTAATAGAGTCATCTTTAAAAATTCTCCCAAAATAAACTAAACAGTACTAGATCCGCCACTAAAAAAAAGAAGCAAAATAAGCAAGAACTAAAAGAATTAGTACTAGAATAATAGGAAAAAGTCATAAAAATCAGCAAGAACTTTAATTATCAGGGTGCAGAATTTTACAACCAATCCAACAACCAACCGTACAAGGGCCCTCGCGATGACCAATTTGCACTTATCCACTCGTTTTGCAAATTATCGCAAGTAGCATTTACTTGCACGTACACTCTACCTTGCGATCTATAAATAGATGTTTTGCATGGGACACTATACTCACCAGTTCTTTCTTAGCAATATTTTCGAATACCTTATAAATAACAATTAACAAAAGTAGTGTTTTTAATTAAGAGATCGTAGCCTACAATGGCTTCAAAAGCTTTGCTTTTTTTAAGTCTCATTGTTGTTCTTCTCATCGCTTCTGAGGTGCTAGCCAGAGACCTCGCTGAAAAATCGGCAGAGTATAAAAACAATGGTACGTAATAAATTCAGACTAGTCTGATTATTGTTCGTATAAAGTTATATAATACTCAAAATCATTGTATATTTGTAACATAACGACCGTGAAAGCATGCAACGCCATTTGAGTATTCTTGAAAGTTGAAACCTATTTATTATTCGATAGATCACTTTAAAAGTTTGTTTATGGGTCATGACTATCTCATCTTCTTATCTCTACTATGCAGAAAATTTTCTTTTATTGTGAAAAGACCTAATCCTTATTCACAAAGCTTCAAATAATTTTGGTCTGCTTTAGCTACAAAAACTCATAGTACTAGTTGTAACAACGTTTATTTTTTTGAATATATCATTAAGAAAAATTACGAACATATATCCATTTTGACTAACAGGGGGAGACGAAGTAAAGCAAACTGAGCAGTTTGGAGGGTTCCCGGGAGGAGGGTATGGAGGGTTCCCAGGAGGAGGGTATGGAGGAAACCCTGGTGGAGGGTATGGAAACCGCGGTGGATATGGAAACCGTGGAGGAGGATATGGAAACCGCGGTGGTGGATATGGAAACCGTGGTGGAGGATATGGAAACCGCGGTGGTGGATATGGAAACCGTGGAGGAGGATATTGTCGCTACGGCTGCTGCTACAGAGGCTACTACGGTGGCTGCTCCAGGTGTTGTTCTTATGCTGGTCAGGCTGTTCAAACTCAGCAACAGAGTACTGAGCCTGGTCACTAAAAGTCTAAAAATGATGCATAATTACTATGGTTGGAAAAGTCAGTACAAAGATAAAAGAGTGCTTTGTGTATTGCTTATGTTTTATTTTTAAGTTCGTGTTGTGATAATCTCTGTTCATGTGATAAAAGTATGTTTGGATTTAAACTTTAAATATATGCATGTATAATAATATGTACAATATATGACTACATGGTAGTTACATACTTACATTTTGCTCATTATCTACATCGTAGAAGAGTCATGAGGAACAAGTGATCAATTGAGATCGATCGGCCGTTTCCATCTTACTAGACTATCACATAAGTAAACGAATTCTTCTTTTGAATATTAGTTAACATACGTTGTACTAGTTGTAACAACAGTTATTTTTTTTTGAATATAATTTAACATTACATTAAAAAAAAAATGAATTCTTCAATAATCTAATATTTTTAAAAGAGGGAACCGTTATACACTTTATTTCAAGTAATATCTTCAGTGACCACCAAGATCATTCCGTAGTTCAAATAATTTAATCACTCAGCCTATTCGCCTATTAGGAGACCATGTCTTCTTTATTTGCCTTTATTTGGCTTGCACGATCCAGTTACCTGCCTCGGAAAAAAGAATACCAGACTACTAGCTCGTATAACTCGTGATTATCTACTTTTTTAGAAGATATCCGTTTGTTTGGGTACCTGTTTTTTTAATCATGTATAAATACTAAAAATTATTACACGTAAAGATCGGATGGGATAAAAAGTATTGCAAATTTCAGAGTTAACCATTCTCTCTCCAACCCTAGCTAGCTATCACATCTTTATCTAATTACCTCCCCTATTATGCAAAAAAATTATGTATTTATGATCACAACATATAATAAAGGCCCTATTTTAAAATCAATTTGGATCGTAAGAACATCTCTATTGGTTTAGATACCCAAATGGATATATCAACATAAAAGTATTAGTATTTTAATATAGTTTAATTATATATTTAATTTTAAACTAAGAAATGAACTAATTAGGAATAGAAAAGTGTAAAAAGAAGTTCTAATTAGTATACCAAATTAAATGTTCTCAAATGAGAACTCTTCTCTTCATATCTTTCATACTTTTAAATTTTTCATTATTTTCGAGGGGGAGTATCTCATTAATCAAATTATCTCGCTTGCTTGAGAGTTGGTTGAGTTTTGTTAATTTTCGTGTGAAGTCCCCTCCGGAAGCCAAATCTCTACCTTTGAATCACCATCCAAGTTGTGTCTTCAACTATCAAATCTCATCCAAAGCTATAAACTCTTGAAACCAAGTGAACCATAAACTTGTAATATCCCAGTTTATATCATTTGGAATCAGAATTTAAACGCTCGTATACCATGTTATTTTTTTGTTAGTTTTCATTTATGTTTTGTTTTGTGTATTTTTTTTTTTTTTGATTAAATGTATAATTCATTAATCTTGCAAATATGTACATAGTTTTTTTAAAAAAGAGAAACAATTAAACTGCCTACGAATCAAATACAAAGTAAACACTTGGTAGAAAAAAGATCTTCCTCATGTTGGAGCTGCGGCAAACCATCTCTGGAGAAGGAGTCGAAGATGAGGATGAGATGTGTAATTCATTGATGCAATCCTATTGCGTATAATCTTGTCAATAAGCTTGACCATCTGTGGGGCTGAGGAATAGACACCGCTATGTATGCGAGCGTTCCGCTCTCTCCATATATAATAGACTGTGATTTGAAAACAGAGACGAAGAAGAATGTCTTCTTCACTGTGCCCGTCCCGTACAACCAGACAGTGTAAGGTGATATCCCAATCCGGGTCTAGCTGTTGTTGAAGTAGTTTTCCAGCTATCTCTGACCAGGCCGTAAAGGAGTAAGGACATGCAAAATAGAGGTGATCCCGAGTCTCATCGCGTTCGCCGCACAAACACATGGTTGATTCACTCCCCAATTACGCATTCGAACACCCGTAGATAACATATCTCTCACCGCCAACCATGTAATAAAACCGCAACGGGGGATACCTTGTTTGTTCCAAATCAATTTTCCCCAGACAATTGTAGGAGAGATAGTCCTGACTTAAAATTTATTTATTTTTCATAAAATTTTGAAAGCCATAACAAAAAAAATAATTACAAGAAAACCTAGCGATTTCTGACGAATTTACGATGCAAAAATATCATCGAGAATGGCTGGTCGAAAATCAGTATTTGTTGGAAAAATTGTCGGACATTTGTTGGAAATTCTCGCGACAAAGTTCTGACGAATTCCCAACTATATGTGGCATCCCTATTGAGAAAATTTTGTCAAAAGACATCGAAAATCGCTATGTTTGTTTGTAGTATAATTGCTTATCATTGAATTTCGTAAACAAAAGAAAACCTATAAAATTACATTACTTAGTTTCTTTTAATAAAATTGAAAACCAAGATTTCTTTTGCTTAATTCTTAGATTTTCGGTTCTGTTGTTTCATAAAAAGTCAAACAAAATAAATTTAATTTCTTATTTCTAACTTTTTTTAACATAAAGAAATACTAAGAAGAAATTTTATCATAATCGCATATGTTTCAAGTAGTCTACGTCATAATATTATTATATCAAATCTATATATAATAGCAATCTAATAAATACCATTTACATATCTGAACGGTTGCGTCTTTTTATCGCAACTTTTCGTTTAAATCGGTTATTTTTTACGGTTATGTCTTTTTATTGAATTTTCTCTTTGAATTTTCGTTGAATTATTTACGGTTGTATTTGTTCAATTACAGTCGTATCTTTTCAGTTTACAGTTATATCTTTATAGTTGCATTTATTCATTTAAAGTTATGTCTTTCCATTATATAATTTCATTGCATTTTTTGTATAGTTAGTAATACTGCGAAGTTTTTTTACATCAACCATTAGACTACATATCAAATTGGTTTTATTAACCAAAATAACAACCTCAATAAATGCATTTTGCACTTCTGAACGGTTGTGTCTTTTTATCGTAACTTTCCGTTAAAATATTAACGGTTATTTTTCGGGTATGTTTTTTATCGCAACTCTTCATTAAAATATTGACGGTTATTTTTTGGTTGTGTCTTTTTATTGCAACTTTCCGTTAAAATATTGGTTGTTACTTTATTCTTTTGTGTCTTTTTATCGCAACTTTCCGTTAAAATGTTGACGGTTATTTTTTCTCGGTTGTGTCTTTTTATCGCAACTCTTCGTTAAAATATTGAAGGTTACTTTTTTAGTTGACGGTTATTTTTTGGTTGTGCCTTTTTCTCGCAACTTTTCGTTAAAATATTAATGGTTACTTTTTTCGTTGACGGTTATTTTTTTGGTTGTGTTTTCTCGCAACTTTCCGTTAAAATATAGACGGTTATTTTTTTCGTTTCTGTTTTTTATCATAACTTTTTGTTAAAATATTGACAATATTTTCTTCTCGATTGTGTCTTTTTTGTCTGTTAAAATATTGACGGTTATTTTTTTCTCTGTTGTGTCTTTTTATCGCAATTTTTTGCTAAAATATTGACAGTTATTTTTTTTTGGTTGTATCTTTTTATCGCAACTCTTCGTTAAAATATTAACGGTTACTTTTTTCGTTGACAGTTATTTTTTTGGTTGTGTATTTTTATCGTAACTTTCCGTTAAAATATTGACGGTCATTTTATTTGTTTGTGTCTTTCTATCGAAACTTTCCGTTAAAAGTTTGACGGTTATTTTTCTTGGTTGTGTCTTTTTATCGCAACTCTTCGTTAAAATATTGACGGTTATTTTTTTCGTTGACGATTATTTTTTGGGTGTGTCTTTTTATGGCAACTTTCCGTTAAAATATTAACATTGCTTTTTCTCGTTTGTGTCTTTTTATCGCAACTTTTCGTTAAAATATTAACGGTTATTTTTTCTCGATTGTATCTTTGTGTCCTAGCTCTTTGTTAAAATATTTACGGTTACAATTTTTCATTGATGGTTATTTTTTCGGTTGTATCTTTTTATCGTAACTTTCAGTTAAAATATTGACGGTTTTTTTTTTGTTTGTCTTTTTATCGTATCTTTCCGTTAAAATATCGACGGTTTCTTTTTCTCGGTTGTGTCTTTCTATCGCAACTTTCCGTTAAAATATTGACGGTTATTTTTCTTGGTTGTGTCTTTTTATCGCAACTCTTCGTTAAAATATTGACGGTTATTTTTTTTTGTTTGTGTCTTTTTATCCCAATTTTTCGTTTAAAAATTGACTGTTATTTTTTCTCGGTTGTGTCTTTTTATCGCAACTCTTCGTTAAAATATTTACGGTTACATTTTTCGTTGACAGTTATTTTTTTTGATTTGTCTTTTTATCACAACTTTTCGTAAAAATGTTGACATTTACTTTTTTTGTTGTGTCTTTTTATCGCAACTTTTCGTTAAAATATCGACGGTTATTTTTTCTCGGTTATGTCTTTTTATCGCAACTCTTCGTTAAAATATTGACGGTTACTTTTTGTGTTGACGGTTATTTTTCTGGTTGTGTTTTTATATATTTTTGGTTTTGACCAGCTAGAATTTTTCCTCTCTATATTATAACTCTTCGTTGTCACTTATAAATAATTTTATATTCACAAAAAATGTTTCAAAAGTATTTTTTAATCATAATTTTTTTTTACATTTTTATTCATAATATTTTTTTAATATCTTTAGAAAATATTTACGATATAACTTTAAGACATAGTTAATTTTATATTATAATTCAATTATTTGAATATATTATAATAATAATTTAATACATAAACGTAATAAAATATATTTGTTGAAAATGAGTTCCCCCGCGATATCGCGGGGTTCATGACCTAGTATTTCTAATGATGATGTAACAAATGACAAAAAAAAAATCTTGTTTTGGTTTATTTCTGTTATTTTAAAAGTTCAAACTAGAACATCCATAAAAATGTTTACTGACCATTGGTTCATATATTTTTGAATCTGATACTTATTTGTTATGTGATTTATTTGCAAGGTACATCAATCAAAACCGAGGCATAGAAACCTACGAAGATGTCTTTCGAATGGTTAAACTGTTATACATCGAGCTCAATGAAATGCATTAACTACTATACTATTTGATTTTTGGTCTTAACACTATTTATGCATTTAAGTTCTTTTTTTTTGACCCCATAACTAATTATTCTGACTCCACCACTAGGAAACGTGTAACCGAAACAACCTGATCCATCGTAGAGAATCCCACGGATGCGTATTGCCGATGGAGACAGAAACCGGAGTCTAAACAAGGGTTCATCTCGTCCTTGCTGATCAAGGAAGCACGATGTAACGAAAAAATTGTTTTTAACTTGTTTTTTTTTATGTAGCAAAAAATTTAACGACGACCTGTTTTGGGAAAAGCGCTTGAGCACCGAAACAAATACGGTGAAAAGTTTTACATCGCTATTGCATTTCGACATTATTGCATCTTCGTTTTGTTATATTATTTTTTTTGGTATCAATTTAAACGCTCTTATCCCATGTTATTTTTTTTTGTTAGTTTTCATTTATGTTTTGTTTTGTGTACTCTTGTTTTTTTTTTTCATAAATTTTTTGAAAAAACATGTTATGTTATTTTTTCTTACCTCTAACTTAAAAGCGTTTGACAGTTGTTTCTTGTGACTTTATACTGTAACAATTTATGTAAAAGAATCAATGGAGACGAATTAGTGGTTCTTTTATAAATATTTTGTATGTTTCTAACTTTCTTCTTACAGATTCCTGATTTAATACAAAACCCGATGCACCCTGCATTCTTGTTTTAATATGGTCCAAGTCGTATCAAAATATTGAGCATATGTTATTTGTGTGTACAGTAGATATATAGTTCAATCTCATTTTCGTTTATTTCTGCTATTCATTAAAAGTTTCGTTTTTTTAAAGTTCTTGTACCAGGTGTAATTTTACGTCCATATGCATGGACAAGGTCAGTGTTTGATGCCACCGTCACAAGGTAAAGCTATGTCCAGAGTCCACATGCACAACTCTAACGAACATCACAATATACATGTCAACACGAACACATGCAAATGGAAGATACATGGTTGAAAAGTTAGTGTTCGTATTTTGCCATAAAAAAATACTGTAGTGATTAAAAGTAGTCCCGCAAAACCTTGGTACGTGGCGACTCGGAATCCTACGTGTTGGCTCCAGAGACTTGAACGAAGCTTGCAGACATATTTCCTGCCAACTAAGATGTTTTCGCTCATGATGTGCCCTCAAGATCCTTCACCACTTGGTTTTTCTTTAAGATATATCATTTCTTAATTGCTTGCATGCTCTTTGAGAGTAAGGTGCAATTATAAATAACAAAACAAAACGGGTGTGTAGGTCGTCAATAAATTTTGCATGTTGCAAAGAAAATGAAGATGAATTCGCGAGCTTTAATAGTGTGGTTTCTATTGTTGTCGGCAGTTTTCGCCATCACGGTTGTTGCCTCCGTCGATGACACAAAACAAGGTTATAGTCAGATCCCTTACTTCCTTTTACATGATCTCTATCATATGTTTTAACGGTTTGTTTTTTTTTTTTTTATATTTCAAAGTTGGTGAAAACTCAGTGGAGGAGTCAAAGTCGACATGCAAGTACGGAAATTGTGCACATGATGGAGAGATTCCTTTTGTAGAAGTAGATGAAGTCCTTGGTGGAGAAGAAGAAGAATCCAAATCTGACCAAGTTGGAATTGGAAGAGGCCAAGGAGGACAGAAGGGCGGTGGTGGCGGCCAAGGAGGACAGAAGGGTGGTGGTGGCGGCCAAGGAGGACAGAAGGGCGGTGGCGGCGGCCAAGGAGGACAGAAGGGCGGTGGCGGCGGCCAAGGAGGACAGAAGGGCGGTGGCGGCGGCCAAGGAGGACAGAAGGGCGGCGGCGGCCAAGGAGGACAGAAGGGCGGCGGCGGCCAAGGAGGACAGAAGGGCGGCGGCGGCCAAGGAGGACAGAAGGGCGGCGGCGGCCAAGGCGGACAGAAGGGCCGCGGCGGTGGTGGTGGACAAGGAGGTGGTGGTGGTGGACACAAAGGCGGTGGTGGTGGCCAAGGAGGACACAAAGGTGGCGGAGGTGGTCATGTTGGAGGAGGTGGCAGAGGAGGCGGAGGTCATGGAGGTGGTCATGTTGGCGGAGGTGGCAGAGGAGGCGGAGGTGGTCATGGAGGCAGCAAAGGAGGTGGCGGCCGAGGAGGAGGTGGTGGCGGCCAAGGAGGAGGTGGTGGCGGAAGCGGCCGTGGAGGTGGAGGTGGAGGCGGCGGGATGTAGGATATCTCTATCTATAATACTAGCAAGTTTTATTTTAAATGCCAAGTGTTCACGTATACTAAACTACAATAAAGTTATATGTAAACGTACGAATCACACCACTTCGCTGAATGTTTATAGGTGTGTATAGGCTTCGGTGTCATGAAAGTTTTATGTTTGTCTCAACGTATTATCACAATATTGCCCGTTGTTAATCTGTCACGCTCAATATGATTTTAAGAATAAGAATACAACAACCAAATAAACAAAATCATAATTCAAAGAGTATACACAATGCAAGTGAAAGGCATCAAGGATGTCCAAGAATTGGAGCAAAACCTATCAAACAACTAAAAGAAGATTCAGGCCCAAAAGGAAAAGAAGATTCATTTCCCTCTTCCAAATGTTTCCAGCAGCTCCACACCAAACACTGCCACTCCTGGTTTGGTCTTTTCAGATGATACTGCTCCTTTTAGTCCGATCACGTCTACATCGACTCCCACTCAGCCTGAGATTTTAACGTCTGATCTCGATCACTGCCCTCCTGACTCTGAACCGGCAGTCACCAACGATGTCACTCCGCAAATCACAGACAACTCTCTGTTTACCGATTCTGATTTTCCACCTCTGCAATCTGCGGTCTCCTCTCCTCCTACTACAACAGATACCTCTCATCCCATGATTACTCGCGCTAAAGCAGGCATCACCAAGCCTAATCCAAAGTATGCTCAATTTTCAGTCAAATCTAACTATCCTGAGCCTAAATCCGTCAAAGCTGTTCTCAAAGATGAAGGCTGGACAAACGTAATGGGAGAAGAAATGGAAACGATGCACGAAACTAATACATGGGACTTAGTCCCACCGGAAATGGCTGATCGTCCTCTTGGATGTAAGTGGGTGTTTAAAACGAAACTGAATTCTGATGGGAGTTTAGACCGATTGAAAGCTCGCCTTGTTGCAAGGGGATATGAGCAAGAAGAAGGCGTGGATTATGTTGAGACATACAGCCCCGTTGTCAGAACTGCCACGGTTTGATCTATTCTTCATGTCGCTACAATTAACAAATGGTCCCTTAAGCAACTCGATGTGAAAAATGCTTTTCTTCATGGGGAATTGAAAGAAACTGTATTTATGACCCAACCACCCGGCTTTGAAGATCCCTCTCGACCTGACTACGTTTGCAAACTCAAGAAAGCAATTTATGGTTTAAAACAAGCGCCTCAGGCTTAGTTTGACAAATTCAGCTCTTATCTTCTGCAGTTTGGATTTATCTGCAGCTTTTCGGATCCTTCTCTCTTTGTTTATCTTAAGGACAACGACGTTATGTTCTTGTTGCTTTATGTTGACGATATGATATTAACTGGTAACAATGCTGCTCTCCTTCAACAGTTATTGACCACTCTCAGTACATAATTTCGAATGAAGGACATGGGAGCTTTGCATTACTTCTTGGGATTCAGGCGCACTACCACAATGATGGTCTTTTCCTTAGTCAGGAAAAGTACGCTTCTGATTTATTGATCAATGCGGGTATGTCAGAGTGCTCACCCATGCCGACACCTCTTCCTCTTCAGCTTGATCAGTTACCAGGTAACAACGAACCTTTTCCTGAACCCACCTATTTCAGAAGCTTGGCGGGCAAACTCCAATATCTCACTCTCACCAGACCTGACATCCAGTTCGCGGTTAATTTTGTTTGCCAAAAGATGCACTCTCCTTCCATGTCTGATTTTCATTTACTCAAAAGGATCTTGCGGTATCTTGAAGGTACAATGACAATGGGCATTAATCTATCTTCAAACACAGATTCTGTTCTTCGTTGCTACAGTGATAGTGATTGGGCTGGCTGCAAGGACACACGACGATCTACCGGAGGTTTCTGCACATTCCTCGGCTCCAACATTGTCTCGTGGTCTGCTAAACGTCATCCCACCGTCTCCAAATCCTCCACCGAAGCTGAATACCGGACATTGTCTTTTGCAGCATCTGAAGTTGCATGGATTGGAGCCTTGCTCCAAGAAATTGGTCTTCCCCAACATCAAATCCCTGAGATGTACTGTGACAACCTTTCAGCCGTCTACCTCTTTGCTAATCCCGCTCTTCACTCTCGTTCCAAACACTTTCAGGTGGACTACCATTATGTCCGTGAAAGAGTGCCTTTAGGCGCTCTCACTGTCAAACACATTCCAGCCTCCCATCAACTTGCTGACATTTTCACTAAGTCTCTTCCTCAAGCACCATTCTTCGATCTTCGGTTCAAACTTGGTGTCGTCTTGCCGCCGGACACAAGTTTGAGGGGGTGTATCAATCAACTAAAAGAAGATTCAGGCCCAAAAGGAAAAGAGAAGCCCACGAAGCCCAACTCTGCAACTCTGCAACAATCACGCGCGCCCTTACCGCTTCTATCGCCGCCAACAAACATAAGCGTGCATAATCGCTTTGATGTTCTTGGAAGTAGCAACATCTCATGCAACTAGAACATTCATCATTAGCTTTTTGTAACTCTTCTCTTTATAAAGACCTCTGCTTGTAATCCAATTAAGTTAAGGAAAAATATTGAATCTTTTCCTCTCTTTCAAGCTTTCTCTTCTACTTTCAAAACCAAGGGAAGCGTATACAATACAAGGTTTCGTGTTAGACGTGTCACCATGTAAGTGAAATGTATAATCGTAATTAAACAAGACTTACTGTGTCATAATCAAAAATTAATCCATATTAGGATTCGGTTAATTGTGTATGGTCAATCTTTTGACTGGTCCGAGTCATGTTTGTGTGACGTTTTTATGATCATGTTTGACTCCGCCTGTAATATTCATGCTCTCTATACATAGTCTTTGGCGTGAAAGGAATGGGAGAAGACACAGGGAGTCTCCAACTCCTGCTTCCACGCTCTCAAAAATAATTGATAAGACTATGAGAAACAGGCTAAGTTCCTTGGCATTGAAGGGTTATCCCGCTTTTGAAGGCGGGCTGCGCTATTGGTTTAGTTCCCATTCTCGCAACTGATGCTCTTTTGTTGTAAGCTCTCAAATTATTTTCAGATTTTCGGCTCGATGTCGCATTTATTGTAAAACAATTCTTTTGGATGAATAAATTTTACATTCATACAAAAAAAAATATATATTCATGTGTATGTGGTTCTTTGTGATCACAATGCGCATCGTTAATTGCACGTGGTCCTGTGGGTATCCAAAGGAACTCGAGTTTTTGGGGCTATCCCACGGGAATTGAGACAATTAAACTTCACTAAAATAGTTTCATTAGCTCCTGAGGTATTATAAGATCTAAATATCGATAGTTTAGTATAGGATTAAAAAACCTGGTATTGAAATAAAATTAATTAATAGATTGTGTATCACGCATATACCCTTAATAATAAAATATTAAGAATTTAATTCATTTATTAATATATAATTCGTCAATATCTTATTATATAAAGTATAGTTTTCAAAGTTAGTAACTCATAGGATCGTGACACGTGGTAAATCTATTGATTTTAGATTTTGATACTTGTAAAACAAAAATTTCCTTTAAAAAAAAGATAATTGTAAGTACTTATAAATTTAAATAATTTTAAAAATGTAAGATATAATTATAAAGATAATTATAAATAATTAGTATTTCTATAAACTATTTTAAAAATGTAATAATAAGGAAATTATACGTTTTTATAATAAAAATATATATTTTAAGTAAACAAGAAAAAAATGAAGCAAATTTATTAAAAAGGAAACATATGTTATTATATAACTAATATGATATATTTTTCTTTCTCAAAGTTAGTAGATAATAGTATCATGAATCGTTATCTGTCAAAAAATTTATCATGTGTCATGATTTAATTTAAAATTTGATATTATTTATCTCAATTTTCTTTCCAATTAGAAATATAAAATGATTTAATTAAACTAATCCTCATATTATTTGTTTGAGTTTATTTTACAATTAGAAATATGAGAGATCAATTTATTTATTTTTCCTTTTTGTAATACTTTTTTACTTAACTGTGTTTTTTGTTTGTCCCAATTATGATTGAAGTATTGTTAGATTGTTTATTTCAATTTATCATTTCATATTTAAATTATCAAAGATTCATATATCAATGTGTTTTTTATTTTTTTATTTTTAGTTTAACTGTTGTATCTTTAAATTATTTATTTGGTTTCCACGTTAAGTTTAAATTATATAAGATTTATAATATATCATAGTTTTAATAATTTTAGATAGCGACATGTGTCATGATTTAAAGTACAAATTTACATTATTTATTTTCTAATTAGAAATATGTGATGATTTTAAGTAAACTTTTATATTGTTTATTTGAAATTCTTGAATATGTAAGAACCATATATGCTTCTTCTTTGTTTTTTGATCTTTTGAATTTAATTATACTATTTCAAAATTGTTTATTTAAAATTTTTATGTTCATATTTGAATTATATAAGATTCTTATATCATCGTGCTTATAATTTTTTGAATTTATCAATTTTTATTGATTGATCATAAAGTCATTGCAATCGAGTATATGGGATTTAGTTGATTTATCATCTTTATATTTTTAACATGTCTAATTAAAAACCATTTTGGTTTCATTAGCCAACGTTGTTAATTAATTTTTTGTTAAATTTAATTTGAGTTTTTAAAAAATTAAACCCGTCCATCGGACGGATTCTTATCTAGTTTATATATAAATAAAAGAAAAAGAACATGTTAGTTATATCAAAATTATAAAACAATAAAGAATTTTAACTTATCATGGGAAAATTGAATGATAAGTCCGTTACGTGTAAACGACTAACCAATTATTGTAGTAATGATAGTTTGATAGGTTAGAGTAGGTGCTTAACACTAAAGTAAGTGTGATACTATAGAAAAGTATAATCGAGACGCTTAGAAAATTAACATCTTCCGAAGGAGCACGAATGCAAGAAGGAAGTTAAATAATTTTCACTACATAATACTAATTAATCGGTTAGCAATGGGAACAGTTCAGTGATATTCCTGGTATAGTAGATGCTAGAATGATCCGGATTCATGAATCTACATTGTATTCTCACGATTCTCTTTTGCATTTTTTTCATGTGATCTTTAGAGTCTACATGTTGGAGAGAGGCGAATAATTTGTAGTTTCGTGTTGATATTTGTAGCGTCTTTGTTAGTGTTCTTTTATTTGGATTTGAAAATTGTCCTTTTTTAGAAAAGGGTTTTTAAAAAA